GCGTAAACTAAAGTTGATGTATAATAGCGTTGTGTAAAGACTTAAATATGTAAAATGTTATTGTATAAATTTTTATTAAAACATTTAGCAAGAAAGAAGTTAGTCTGAAAGACTTTTTGAAATGTAGTATTTCAATTAGAAAGATTGGCACTTGCTTTGAAAAGAATAGAAGTTAACAATGTACTACTAATGTATGTTTTTCAATGTGAAAATAACGGCATGTTAATATGTTCTTATATATAAGGTGAACTGTTATTTAATGTTAAGAAATACCGTGATATGGAATTGAATGAAATGTTTTTTTTTTATTCGTGTGACTGTAAAAAGACTAAAGCATGGCGAATATGTGTTAAAGGTTGAATGATTAGTTAGGCTCTCGACGCTACACTTTAGAGTTAGCCCCTTTTAGAATAGTACCTCAGGTTTAGAGTTGAAATTAGGGTGTGTTAAGAGGTCTTGTTATTGAATTTAACACGTTAGTGTTTTGATGTAGAAGGAAGTGGAACACGTAGACAGAAACACATTCGTGTTTGGTGTTCTTTTACAAAACATGTCAGAGAGCACGGGAGAGATAATTAAAATAGTCATGATGAAATAAGAATGTTAAGTAAAATATAATTATACATGTTGCTTGCCATTTCATTGTGTAACATTTCATTAAACAGTTTTTCCTTCCAGATCTCTGGAAGGAACCAGAATTTAAAAAGCTCCTGTTTAGATGCAGACATATTGCAGATGAAAAAAGAGTGGTATCCTGGGAGCTGCTATTGTAAAAAAAAATTTCTTCTTTTAAATTTCTAGTTTCTAGCGAAAAATATTGTAAAGATTGGCCTCGCGTTAGATTCTAGAGCTAAAAGTTTTCAACAAGGTCGTGTTAGACTCAGTTTCAAACTAATTAACTCTGGCGGGAAGTATGTAAGGATCTTAATTTTACTAACGTTTATTTTTTTAAATCTTTACTATCACTTCTTATTTTCAACTTCCGGCCAGAATTATAAGCGTTAAGGTTTTTATGCAAAGTTGTCTGCGAACGCCAAGTTTAAGTTGTGGCTTTTTGCCAAGCGAGAGAGAGGAAGCATTGAGTCAAGCCGCTTCCTTAGAAGTTACGCAGTGCTGTTTGCCTTCCAGGCGAGAAGTTTTAATCCTCTGATAAATTATAAACGGATTGGTAGTGTCCCACTCTATACTACATACGCTTCCTGTTAATATAAGCCAATCTTCCACTTTATTATTCTAAATTTAAATTAGAGTTTAGTTTATTTTTTATACTTTTACGTTTTGACCCCAAGTAGCGGGTCGGTGTATGTACGGAAGTCATTGTAAATAGAGAAAAATAAAGGGTTTGTATACCCTTCTTGTGTATCCTGTTTACTTCCCACAGTTTTGAACATAGCTTTAGTAAGCTCTCTGTTCCGAGTCAGGTCCTTGCATGTTCCCGAAGAAGGTTAGAATGGAAACTGAACCTGATAACGTCTATACGTACAGTCAGAATAAATGACTCTTTTTTCTAAAACGGATTCAAAAGAGTTTTGTGACCTATGTACGTACATACATATGTATGTATGCATCCGCCTACCTCAAAAACGATTAGTCGTTGAACGTTGAAATTCCGAGTATGGGAGTGCTATAACATTTTGTTGTGCACCTTCTTTTTTTTATTGCAGCACCAAACGTGTGTGTGGGCGTATTTAAGACAAAAAAGGTTACTAACAAAAAGACAAAAAATATTTTGTTAGCCATCTTACTAAAAAAAAACTGAATATTGATATAATGAGTTGAGAAAAGACTGAAAAAATTTTTTAAAAAAATGTATGGCAAAACTTAGCTGCATCAAGAATTCTAAACATATGTTGCTATTCTGTTTTTAAAAATTTTCTGATTTTGATCTTTAATTATATAGGGCTTAAGTGCGAAGAAAGCGACGCTTAATAATAAATCCCCCCCCCCAAAAAAAAGAAAGAAAACTGGATTAATCCTTAACGACTACTTTTGGGCGACCGTTAAAATCTGAAACCTCTCAAACGTTTTTTTTTTCATCAATAAAAAAGAAAATAAATTTTTATTAAAACATTTTGCCTATATTCGTCTAATTTAATTTAACAGCTTTTTAAAAATATATACTATATCTTTTCATATAATTTAAGTCAAAAACCAATTAAAAACTAAAAACCCGAATATAAGAAACAAGCTTCGTTTAAAATGGCCACCAAAAAAAAAAAAAAAAAAAAAAACTAGAAACCCAGATAACTGGTGTTTCGGTTAATAAGACATAAGCATTCATTAATTGCGTAAGTTAACTAATGAAAGAATACAATCACAGTATTTCTCTTCTATTACAATAACGAAGCAATTTGTTTAAAAAGCAAGTAAGATCACAAAATATCAATTTAAATATAGGTGAATCGGCAGTATTCTAAATGATGACGTTAAGCATATTGATATTAACTGCTAAAGCTGCAATTAATTTCATTTTACTTTAAGAATAAATTTTTCAGCCATTAAAAAGAAATTGTTAGTTTGATAATACAGATATTTTTTTAACTAAATAATGGAAATTACAAATTTTTCAATGACTGAAAAGTGTATAAATGTTTAAATAAATGATTATACGTAGGAACTTATAATCATGTATCCAAATTCATTCAAATTAGAACATAGCGTGTATTTTAAAATATTAGTGAATTCCATATTTCAGATCTTTTGTTGTAATTTTTGTTTTTAATTTTCGAATGTTTGTCTGAATTACAAGCAGTTAAATGATTTCACAAATAACTATATATAATAAAGCACGTTTGACATGGAATGTAGTGTGTATGTCATAACAAAAACCTAAAGAATTCAGTTTTTTTAATCATTCATATATAAAGCTGTTAATATTCAATACAATAACAATATATAGAAAGTAAACAAATGCGTGCTTACATATTAGCTCCGATATCGCATTTCACGTTGAACTAACAACTCGCAACAGCAATAACAGTAACTCACTAAATTAATAACTGAGATCATATGCTCTTTACGGTCTTATACACTCAAACGCCGCCGAGATATTTCTCGCACTTTCTGCTTCTCGAAATTACTAGACAGTAATATCAGGGTTGAATTATGGTTGCAGCTAATACAGTGATCAATTACATTTATTCAATTACAACATTTATTACGGTGATACAGAGACCGAACCAAAATGTCGCCAAGTTTGGCGACATTTGGTGTGTTTCCAAAAAATTTGGCGGTAAAATAAGTCGCCAAAACCGTTGTTAGCTTTGCGATGTCTCGCCAAATTTCCGACATTCCCATTAAATACATTTGCTCTGTATTCTTACTTTTCCGGTATAGCTTCTCTCATGAGACTTTTGGCGTTACATTACACAGAAAAATACAACAATTTCACATATAATCGCCCTAAAATCATCTATCTATGTACAAAATTCGTAACAGTATTATGTTGGAAATTGTGGGAGGACGAAGGATAGTGGTAAAATTTCGTCATCTTATTTAGGTGCCAAAGGGAAAGCACGAGAACTAAGTATCTTATTTGATATTTATGCTGTTAGAAGACTGCTGAAAAGTTGACGGTCAGTGATGTCAGTGTCTGTTAATAATCATAAATCAAAAATCGTTGATTACAAAAGAAGGCATTGCACTGAAAAATATTCATGAACACATGATTGCAGTTTGTGATGATACAGTGCCTTTCTATGGTAACGTTAAAAGTAAACTGACGGATTAGATAAAAGTAAACATCACTGAAATGTGATTCCAGCCCCAGATGTGACCATTGCCGAAATGTGTGCTAAATTCAAGGACTATGTGATAAAATATAGACTAGTAATAGTCTCTCAGATTGGTATAGGAATAGGCATCGGTATTGGATTAATTGGAAAAAAATATTGCATGAAAAGTTAGAGATGTTCAAGGTCTTCTCTAGATGGGAATGTAAAATTTTGATCTCAGAGATGAACAAACATCGCGTCGAATATTCCCAAAGAATAACCTATGTCTCCGATTTAAAAAAAAAAAAAAAAAAAAAAAAAAGTGCCCTCCAGCGGCCGAGCGGTAAAGTTGCTGAACACTGGTAGTTCGGTCCGAGGTTCGAATCCCGCAAACGGGCTGGCTGCATGGGCGTTTTCGTGGTTTCCCCATATGTAATATGTAACGTGTATACGAGCCAGTTCCCCTTAGAAAGTCCTCCACGAAGGCATCCCTCCCCTTAGGCAGATAGCCCTCGAGGCTTTGCCATAATCACACAGACAGACACCGATTAAAATGTTTTTTTCAAGCTAGTGACAAGAAATAAAATATGGCTACACCATTGTGCTCATAAACAAATAGGACATCATAGACACGGTGTTCTCCAACACCGTAAAATTTAGCATCCAGAAATCAGCCTGAAAGGTTCTGCGCGCCAATTTTGAGGATGAAGAGAAACTACTGCTTTTAATTTGTGTGCGATATGATACTACGATAACATATATTTATTATGTTAATCTGATTATTCAAAACCAAAACTCAGAAAGATCAAACACCATGTCCAACTCAGTAGGAAAATGTTGCATACGCATGATAACACTCCATTAAGTCTCAGATTTCAAAAAACTACTACTCAGTAATGCTAACTTCACATTACATCATGTGTACTCTCAAAATGCATTCTTTTTGTTTCAAAGACTTATACAACATTTTCATGCATCACTTTATAACGACAGTGATTTGAAGAATATAAGATAAGCTTAGAAACCTGAAAGTTAGCAAACATAGATTGAAAACACCACAAAATATTTTAACATGTTATGAATGACTTAATGTAATGCATTGAGCAGCCCAATAAATTATCATTATCTATGCTGATGAACTTCAGATTTTCAGTACTTGATCAGTTGCAAGTAAAACATGTAGAGTTGCCGATGAAAAATTGAAAGATTAAAACATTTGAATAATTATCAAAATACGCGATATCTTCCGCTTTGAGATAACGATATCGTTGTTAAGAAAAGCGAAAATAATTTCTTTTATGTTCCTAACTTCACAAAAGGTGCTTCCTCATGTCAACTAAATTTCGACTCAAGTAGGCATCGCTTTCTTTTCAGATATTTATATTTTCTAATTTATATGAATACGTCTTTGTTTTCAATTAGATTGTTCTACAAAACATTTACATTCTTTTTGAGACATTTACACTCTTCTTGAGACAGCAATTTATAGGTGAAATATCGGAATATATTTATTTCTTTCAGAAATAAGTAACAGCGTTTTAAATACTTTCATTTTGAGAAAATATGTTTTTACATTGTCTTACGCATATCTGGTACGATAAATTATACTAATTTTTTTTTATTTTAATCAATTATAACCGACGAAACACGAGCCTTTGAACTTCTGATTTGGAAAAATGAACTAAAAAAAATTGTTTATAAAAATAATAATATAATGAAATGTGAAGAACTAATTTTAAAGTTTGCGTGATAATTTTGTATCTCTTATTTCTATTAATGACTTTGATTCCCTCTATTGCATAAACATACGATTTCAACGACTCAAGCGTTCATTTTTACTTCCTGTAGAAGTAAAAAGGAAGTTTGTAATCGCGAAAATTTGGGATCATATTTCAACGAAAATATCGATTTGACTGCTACCAATGCTTTTATGAGTTTTTTGCGGGACATCCAAGTAGGACAGAATAAAGGACTCTTTTGTCCCAAAATTATAAACTGATTTAAATCGAATTCTAAGAGAATTTTCGTGGCGTTGTGTGTACGATTACGTACTACGATCTCGCATAACTCAAAACCGAGTAGTTTCAGTACGTTGAAATTTATTATGTAGAACTGCTTATAAATGTAGATGTGCAAATCGTTTTTGGTTGCAATCGCCGCATCAAAAGTATATAATATATGTAATATATTCCTCAGTTACTCGGCCAGTTTCTTTATTCGTATTTTCCGTTTTGCGGCGATAAAGTCGCCATAAGGTAACTGATGCCAAAAGGAATATCTTCGCTGGTAACCCTTTTGCGCCTCATTTTCAAACAAGTTAAAGCCATTTCTTATCAGATTGATTGTTTCTTTCCTACGGGCATACAATTAATAGAACTTTCACCAGAGAGTTCAGTTTTAGTCCTAAGCCACTGGCCCTCTCGGTAATAAGTCAATTAGGATGCAATCACACAACCACACGAAGGCGAATAAGAAAAGAAAGTCAAGAGTTAAATTCATCATTATAATGAATGCACTGCGAAGTCAGCACACGTTTCACTAATTCTGAGTAGCTATCGTACGAATTGAACATAATCTCGCATTTAAACTGTTCCAAATTAAGATTTAACTTAAAATTAATGTAGATAATTAGACTTTTGAAGCTTAGTTTACGTGAGATGAGATCACTTGAGGTCATGTGATATAAACAGGCGAATCAGGATGTCGAACCATAAAAGCATAGTAAATTCTCAAATTAATGTCTTTTGACAAATGTATTGTCTTTATTTATTGGCTTTTTACAAAATTTTAAACTATATTAAAATAGTTATGCCTTCAAAATAAAAAATTCTTAAAAACTAACATTTGGTAACATTTTTTATGTGTATACTGTATGTTGCCGCCCATAAAGTCTGCTTGGCGAGATTTGTGCTGAAGAAACGGAAAAGTATTCTTTATTCTTATATGTTTGTAAATTGTGCATTTTTTGCTTTAAAAATGATTGAATTATGTTGTTCTTATCTTCCGGTTAAGGATTTTATGGCTTTAGTGAATCTGCATGTAATATTTGTGGAGTTATCAACAATTTAGAAGTTGTTTAAGTGTAGCTAAGCCTAATGAATTTTGCAATGGCGGACATGTTTGTTTACATTTCAAACTTTGCAGAATAGCGAATTTGTTGCCAATCTAGAGAAACTAAGCTTCGCTACAACAAAGATAACGCCATCTTTTATTATTGCGAATTAATCCATTATGGAATTTATTCGATGAAATAAGTGTTTCAGATTTACTTCGTAATATAGATATTTTGAGCTTTTATGTATTTTTGCCTTGTCGGGAAGTGAGGAGAAATACTGAATCGTCTGTGAAAACTGTTTCTTTTCTTTTTTTTTCTTTTGTTTTGTTTTGTTTTGTTTGCTTAATTTTTTTATACATTGTTTTAGATTTAATTTAGTATTTGAATAGAAAATGTGGCAACGATTAGATAATTCTTCAAATGATATAAACTTATATACATTTTGAGTTATAATATGGACAAAATGTAACGCTGTTAAGTGAAGCTAACGCCAGAGTGTTGCTATGGTAAACAAATGTAGTGAATTTTAAAAAGTAGATTTATTATATTGTGGTTCATGTGATATCGGCGATATATATGTAATTCAATCCAATAAGTTTAAATGAAATGCAAGAAAAAATGCGTATAATTTAATATTCAAGGCAAGGAAGTTATGTGGTGTACACATCAGATTTTTTAATTTTTAGAGCAGAGCCTCTCAGTCCTTATATAATTTAAACTCTTAGCTGTTATTTTCCTTCCCTGTTATCTGTTTTAGGTTTTATATTAAATACAATCCTTAAGAATTTCATTTTTTTTACATACCCACCTAAATTTTAATAATTTCATGCTCAAGTCAATTTTAATCGTTTTCTGTGAATTAGCACATTTATATTACCCTATTTCAATGTTAAAAACCTGATACCTCTGCCTGCTAATTTTGTTTAAATATTGTCAACTCCTTTTCAGAAATTTAATATATTTATACATACGTCAGTTTTGTTATGAAATACTTATAATATATGTACAAGTTATTTTAGCGAAAAGAGCGAATAAATTTTGTGAACAGGACGGTTTGAAATAATAAATTTATTAAAATTATTTATTCATAAATAAATTTATTAAAAGGTTCACAGTAATTATAAATGTTTTGAGGTATTAACGAATTAAAATTAAAATTACCGCTATAAATTTTCGCATGACAAATAATAAAATAAATATTTAATTTGAAATGTCGTTAACTTTGTGAATCTTAAAATTCATGTTAGTTAAACTTTATAACAAGTAGTAACAAATAATTAAAATATAAGACAAAAATTAACTGATTTTAATTACAACAAAAATAAATTGATAAAATAATGAATTTATATTTTTCTTATGTATAAGTCTGATTACTCAGTTTTATTTTGTGAAATAGTGATATTACTTTAAAAATTTTGGAGATATGAAAGATATTAAAACTTCCTATCCGCTTCTGTGGATATTTGTATTTATTAGTTATTTATTACATTAATGTTAGTTAGTATTATAAATACTAACTAAAATTTATGTATCCCAAAACTATTAAAAATCATTTCAAACTTTCGTAATTCAAATCGCTTGTATTTTCATATACAATTACCATGCTTAAAGTAATATTTAAAGCAATATATATTATACTTTTTTAAAATAAATATGTCTCCGTTAACTGTTTTTCTTCAAAAAGTAGAAATTTTAATAATCAGCTGTGTATGCTAGAATTTATATGTACACATTGTTTTAAATATACTCACGCCTATATCAAATATTTTAATTAACTTTTAATTGACTAGGAGGTTGTAAAACAATTTGATGTAAAATTAGATTTTTTCCATATTCTCTACGCTGGATTAACCAAAAGGCAAACCTTTCGTGTGTGTAGGTAAAGAAAATATGAAATTTATCTAGTTTCATCAAATACTGTAAGTATACTGCAAGTACTACAGCTACCGTAACATTTGCAAATTTTGATAATTTTTAGAAAATTGGCGTAATTATCATTTTGTTAAGCTGAAAATGTCTATTTTTTATTCTTCCATATTAAAGTAGCAAGATAAATGGTTTCAATTCTATTAAATGAGCTTCCAAAAGATTTCAAACAGCTGAAATTTTTTAAATGTCAAATGGACTTTGCTGTAGTTTCATCTTACAATTGCTTACTGCCTGCACAAAATGAGATAAAAATATTACCGAGGTTTCATTAGTATACGTTAAAGAAAAATTTTCCTATTAAATACTTTTTTTATTTATTTTTATGAATATGGAAAATTTAAAGAATTTTGGAAATATTCGATTAGTATTCAATATCTAAACTTTTGCCCTTATCTACTAAAACGTTCTTATATGAAACCCACGATGCAGAAAGTGATCATTTATATGAAAAAATTTAACAATTATTATTATGTGAAAGCAAATAGTATTAATTGCTTCTGTACAAATTCTGTATATCTCCTAAGCTGCTTTCAAATATATGAAAATTTAACTCTTTGTTTTAAATGTTATATGGTGAATACTGCCAAACAATTTGAATTTATATAGTAAAAAATTACACAGAGTCATTTATCAACATCTTAAAAACAGACAATTTCAAGAAGTAAATAAACAATTTACTTTTAAAAAGTAAATAAAAATATTACTTTTAAGAACTAAATAAATATATTACTGTATAAATATGGTTTCATAATTAAATAAGTTTTATGACTAACTATTTTCTTGTATGTAATTAAAAACAGGTCGCACTTCTTATTAAACAAATGGAATAATTTTAGTAACCTATTTTTTTTTTTTTATTTCAAAGGGAACCGTCAAACATTTGGCTTATATTTTGCAAAGATTTTCTCTAATCCACGATGAAGAAAATGTTTCCACGAAATTCTGAGCAGTATATTATGAAAATTAGAAACATGCATTTAGTATCAACGTTTTAAGAAAACAAAGTTTATTTTCGAGCAAGAGTAGATTTTATATCGTATGTTAATGAAGTTGATATTTCTGAACAGATTTTGCTAAACAATGTGAGGGAAAAAAAAACCTTCTCCCTTCTTGCAGTAAACACAGTAGAGTCCCGCAAACTCAACTTCTGATTTCCCGACATTTCATAAAACTCTATACTCACTAAATAATCTCTGCAATACATCTTTATGCGTATGAATATTCGCGTGTTTTCTTGTTCTGGTCAAAAATTTGATATGTTATTCTAATTTTGCAATTTTTCTCTCTTAGATTTTGGGACACTTTTTTTTTTTTAATCTGTATAACGAATTTGAAGACATGTTTAATTCTTGTGGTGCAGATTTTAAT